ATAAATGGACAATTCATTTTTTTTAATAAAAAATTACACTATTTTGCATCAAATCTATATATATAATGCTACCCTATGTATTACATAAAGTATGCATTAACAATAATTTATAAAATAAAATAAAAAAAGATAATAAATAAATAAATAAAATAAAAGATAAAAAAATAAATCTAAAAATAATAAATCAAATAAAAAATATAAAAACTACTAAATTATTTATTAAATTAAGCCGTCATATAACGTTTTAACGTCCCTCCAATTATTCAATGTATATTAAATTAATATATTTATTATTATTTTTCGTTACATGTATATTAAACCAAAATAAGAAAAAGAGACATACATTTTGATTTTCCTTTTCATGAAATTAAAGTTCATTAGATAATGAGTATATTTAATTCTTTTTCTCATAAATATTCTCATTATTGCCATTAATTTTCTAATATTAACACCTATCTCTTGAAATTCTCTTTCTATTATTTATAGTCCATTGATTTTTTTTCAAAGCGGTATTGATAAAAATAAAAAAGAACAAGCAGTTTGCTAAACAATTAAATATGCAACTACAGGGGTTTTATGCAATGAGAATGGCAATGTGAGGTGCATCACATCTTTAGGAAAGCAAATTATTGTCCATGTTAAATGGCTTTGAGATTTTACCATTTAGAAAGAGTTCTTTATGTATTTAGGGAGATACCTAATTTGGTACATGAGTGTTTTAAAAATGATTTGTTAGAAATGTGTAGACTTAGAATCTCTAAATTAATTAGTTTTTAAGCATTGCTTACTGTAAAAAAATTTTTTCCACTTGATTGTTTCCCTTTTTGTTTTTGTTTTTTTAACTAAAATTCCTAACAAAGTTCTCTATTATTATTATTATTGACTTGATAGTTGTAATTCATGGAATCTATTAATAAATCAATCATGTTTCCTATAATATAAAATTTTTATTCTCTTGATTTTCATTTTAGGCCAGCTTATATTTTTGATTATTTTCACTATAATTTATTTGCTCCTAAAAGTTTCAAACAATTTTTTTCTTACAATTTATTAGATTTATTATCAAGTCATTCTATTTTTAAAAGTAAATTACTAATTTTTATTGCTAATTATTTTCACTAAATTTTATTTTGTTTCCTAAAATTCCTAATAATTCTTTCCTTCTTAGTGATTAATTGTTTGATGGTATAAATTATTGTCTTATTAGTATTCGAATTTTAGTTTTTATTATAATTTTTAAGCT